TCCCCCGCTTTGAATATATGAATAATTCATTACTACAAAAAGTGTGGTCCATTTTACAGCAAATAAAACAAAATATTATAGTTTTAATACTATATATATAACTTGTGCATGGCTTCAAGTGTCTTACTAAAAAAAAATATTAAAAATGGGTGTAAATAGCATTTTTGAGCTACGGTTTTTATCAATGTTTTCGGTGTATACGGAAATCAATATATGGTTTTCTCGTTCTTTAAGACACCGAAAATCACAAAAATGTACTTATTTACTACAGTGTGATTGCGCCAAAATGCTCCCCGTTTTAAGCTGTCTCTTAGCGTGCAAAATGTCCTAATTAGTATTCATATATACCACGAATTTTCGCAATTAGTTCGTCGCGTGACCAGTGAGTCAGGTCACTTCAAAGATGACGACGTAAACACTGTTACACTCTTGCTATCTTCACAGAATTTCTGATTCTTCCTTAAATAAAGGCAACATTATTTTTCTGTCTACATTTTGGCATGTGAATACATTTATTAGCTTAGTGCAGTTTAGTTTAGTTAGTTTAATGGTGTAGTGTAGCGTCGAGACATGCAAAGGGAAGCGGGATCTGTAGTTCTTGAGACAACGATAATTATAGGGTGACGATGTCGTACTCATTGATAACACCGACTAAAACGCCTACCCAAAATGGATTCAAGAGCAATGTTTGTCATAGTTCTCCATATGTGAAAACACCAAAACAACAAGGAAAGAGCAGGAGAGTCCTTGGTGGTTTACCGGTAAATTATATTTCTGTAGAAAACTCCAGTAAAGCTACGCATACTGAATGTGAGTTAGATGTGTGTTGTCCATGGTGTAATCTGTCACCCCTTCATCCTCAAGTGCGTTCGTCACAAAACAAAAAAATTGAAACGATATGTTGTCATAAGGTTGTTGTTCATATCTGAATATCGCAGGTGAAGAACGGCCATGTTCAAACAATGCACTAGCTGTGGACCAGATGTTACTTCTAACACAAAATAATCGGTAATGTAACAAAATACACTCCGTTAAAAGAAGGGCGCCCTCCACGCGAATCCTCATGTGCATGTAGCTATAGACGCGAAAAACGACCACCCTCCCTCAGGTGCATTCAAGCATGTTGCAGGTGCAGAATTTCTAGACTTGTCACTATTTGGGTTTTTATTTCCAATTTTCATTTATTTTACACCCCCTCTGTCTGACAGCATGATCAAATGATATCAGCATCATGTTGCTGAAAGATTGAAAATTAATTGCTGTCATACATGTATATGGATGCCAAGAGTGACACAATTTACATCTTTAGCTGCGTCATAACCCTGAGTTAGTACAAGCTCACCAGCTTAACCTGTCAATGCCGATTTGTATCCTATTAATTCATGCTCTTGAAAAAAAAAACAATTATTTTTTCCAGTAAATATTTGTGTCACCTAAATCTTGTTAACTTTTACAGCAGATGATGCCATATGGTACAATTACAATGAGGAAAGGAAACTGAAAGGGCAGGTTTAGGATTAGAGGTATGGGTGAGGGGACCCTAAGTAATTCTTACTGTATCATTTCACATCACCTGTCACTGTCAGTACATTGTTGTATAGTTGCATGTATTTGCAAGATTGTATCATCCACAATTTCTACAAATAATTATCACATACTATACAATTATCATGCACATTATTTAGAACAAGCCATGCATGGCACAGTCTCCGTTAGTTATCAAATTTATATAGTTTTGTTTATAGTAATATAGCTGGAATATAACCATGTCAGGAATATGATTTTTTTAACATTAAAATGATTGACATTTGTATCTGATCGTCAAACAAGTACTTGTCGATATTGAGAGATATTGCTCTGGAACAGCATTCAAAATCAGCCATTTT